CAATATCATGTGCACGAAGCTGTTGAACTATTTGTTTTTTAGTCACATCAAAATTCTTCTTGGATTCAAACTTAATCTCATACTTTGTTCTTAGGTTCTTAGTGGGCTCTAGCTTTCTTCAGACTTTTCCTTCCAGCACCTGAAAGTCCAAGGGTTCATTTACAGTCCCTCTGTCAGTTGTTCCCTGACCCACCTGCCTAGCAAAGCCAGTTATATTCTTAGATAGCTGCTCTGCAATTTCGTGTGTTCCCCTGCTTTCTCTCCCTGCATAACACACAAATACTCCTAAGAGATGTAAAGGTTTCTGGCTATGTGTATGTATCTGGTCGATTTATCCCCACTTTTCTTAGCCAGTTTTCTAGTTATTTTTTCTTCCTAAGCCTATTCTGACTTCTACTTTCTTGTCAGTGGTGTCTCCATTTATCTTTCCAAGCCAGTACCCTCCACCATAATTCACTGTCAAACAGATACGAAGATATAATCACACAATCCTAGAGTCATAGAATTCTAGAGATGAAAAAAATACCTAAAGATCATCAAATCCTATCCACCTCATTTTACATCTCAGATAGGGAAACTTACTTATTCGAATTCACACAGAGTCACAAAAGAGTAGGGACTAGAAATCGGGTCTTCTGTCATTACACCACAGTGCTTCCTCTGAACACTGTACATTTTTAGAAACATGACATAACCAAAAGAATTTCAGTCCCTAGGAGTGAGCCTCACAGGCGTCACTCCTGTTGAGGTTACTGAGAAAAAGAAGAGACTAGATTAGACATTGGAAAAAGAAAACAGAGCAGACAGAGGAGTAGATGCTTTTGTAATTCAGCCTTGAAGAGACCCAGATAGCTGAGACAAGTAGAACTTGGTCTGAGATTTATTCTTCCATTGTGGAAAGGGCTGAAAAATGCAAAAGGACGCGTGGAAGCAGTTCAGTGTGCTTCTCCAGATCTCCAGGTCCCCTATCGCACTGCTGGTAGCTGACATGAATGGACCTAGGGCCCTGTGGCGCTGGCTATTCAATAAAATGGAAACTGTGAGATTAGGAACCTGTTTTTCTTGTTCCATAATGTATTCCTAGCAGCTAGAACAAAATAGGCTTTGAATATACATGTTCATTATATAAGTGACCTTTCAAAGGGGAATTGTAGATAGCATCACCATAACATTTATCGTCCAAACTGAGACACTTTGAGAGCAAAAAAGAGTGCTATTAAAAATTATACTGAGAAAAAAATTATACTGAGACAACAGACATAAGCACGACTGTCCCAGGCAAACCAAAACATATGGTCTCTGCAATTATAGGATAAATAAGGACTTCGTGGAGTCTTTACCATTTTGGCCATCTAAATTACTCTGCACCTTTAGGACCATGGTGGGATCAAGAAGGAAGGGAGTCAGCAACTCCAGAGCAATAACATCAGAAAGGCATTGAATATCAACAGCCGAATGAAACATGTTGCAGGTACCTCAAACCACAGGGAAAGGAGATCCTGAAACATTTCAACAAGAGAGGGTTAATACATGGAAACAAATCGATGGCACTCAATTTTATAATTTAGGATGTCTAAAATGCCATAGGCTTTTTTTCTAATGTATCATTCTAATGGTAAATTACAGTGAAAGCAAAATATAAGGGCTTTTAACCTTGTGAAAATAGGGTCTTTAATGATCATCAGTTTTCTAGGATGGAAACAGAAGCATAGAGAAGTTTACTGAGAGGTCCCAGGTCACACTGCTAAGTTAATTCTTGGAGTGGATTTGAACCCAGGATACCTGACTTGACTTAGCTTGTGCTCAGGAGCTCATTTCTTAATGATTAATCTCAGTTAGAGTTGGTTAAATAACCATCTCTACACACTCAGCCAGTTACCCTTTCTAGTAGTATTCACTCTAAAATTTATAAGAAAAGGTAAAGAAAAAATAAAAACCCTGATAAAGTAAACAAAATATTTCAAAATTAATGCTAAGTCCAAGATGAGATCGTAATGGCAATTAAAAAATTTTAAACAGTGAATATGAATAAAAATACTACTTCTCAAACTTACAGAATAAGGCCAAAGTCATGCTTTATGAGAAAGCACGACTTTTACCTTTAAGAGAATCTCAGAGCTAAAAAATTAAAGAAAAAAATTTTTAATTATTTCTAAATTTGAGGAAGCAAAGGAAATTTGAAAAAATAAAAAAGGAAATAGCCACAGATGGGCTGACACAGATAAATTGAATGCTGACAAAGAATTAAGAAGACTAACGTTCCACATAAATAAAACCTATATAGAAATGATCTATTGTGTGATTATTGCACATAGATATTTCTGGAATTAGAAGCAGAGAGGTTTGTAAATGCCCGTGACTTAGGTATAGTGGCTAATGCTGGAAAGAGACATGTGATATGTATATACGCATATGTACTTAACACATCTCTTTTTATAGATGGCTAGAAATGGTGGCTAAAATTGATAGGTTTTTAGCTGCAGGTGAACAAAATTGTTCTCATAAATCATACTGGAAATTAAACAATATTTAGAAAAGAAAAATGATAAAAATGTCCCCAAATAGTTCAAAATAGACCTATTTTTGACTATAAAGAAATTCATGTGTATAATTTGTTTCTCTCACGTAGGTGTATAAAGAGAAATGAGTGATTTGAGTTTTGTACCTACACGAATCAATTTTATATATGCACAAATGTATGTACATGCTTTCAAAAGTTTGCACATATCAGTCCCATAGCCCTGTTTTTCCCAGTAGCATGTATTCTGTTATCCTAGAGTCTTTCAGGATCATGACAAAACCCTTAGCATTGGGGAATTAAGTATACGAAATCACTGAACCTCACATCTTAGAGCTGGAAGAAAGTGTGCACACACAAATCAAGGTGCCCTGAACAAGCTGTAGCAGATACACTTACCCACTAAGCTGAAGTCCTCAGGTTTGTGAGCATCCGTGGCACTAGGTGGCAGTGTCCCCTGGTGGTGAATGTCTATAATTCATATTTCTCCATTTTCTTCTCAGGGCCCTTCTGATACTCCTGAGTCTGGTCCCAGCCCCTGGATGGCTAATCCTTCCATCCGGAGGACATTCTTCCCAGATCCCCAAACGTACGTAGCTGCCAGCTGGAATGGAGGTCTCCCAGCCCCTTCTCAGTTCATTTTCCTGCAAAAGAAAGGCTACCAAGTTGCTCACAGGCACACAAGCCCCACCTGGGTTCCCTCAATTAATCACATGCTCTGGCCCTAACCCTATCTGTATATCAAACTAGCTTTCTTGGTTAGATGCCACTGACTTGGGTGAGCAGGATGGAGTCTCTGTTCTGAATGAAACTAAGTACTCTCCATCTCCCTGCAGGAGTACCAAAGAAATTTCAGAGCTTAGGAATATCCTAAAGCAGCTGCAGCCAGGGACTTTGGGGCGTTCAGCCTGCATGGTGCTTTCCGCTGCCCGCAGGGTGCCTCCAGCCAGCGTGACAAGCCCAAAAAACAACCCTGCAGAACCAGGTCCCAGTCATCCAGACAGCACAGGTGAGGCCCCATGACCTACCTTTGATTCCTTGCTCTCCCTGGTACCATCCTTCCTCCTTGAATCTGCCTCTGCTATATGAGGTGATTCACAAATAGGACTTCATGTGGGTAAAAAAGACAATTGTCAGTGTCATGTTACCAGAAGAGAACTCAAACATCATATAATAATTGAAAGAGCACTGGCCCAGGAATCCTTATCTCTTTGGGCCTCAACTCCCTCATCTTCAAAGTGAAAGAGTTAAATCAAATAGTATTTAGGCCTCTTGTGATCATCTCAGAAGGACAATTCGGTCAGGGTGGTAGTGTATGGAGCTTATTGGAGAAATAAAGTAGGGGCATGGTGTGGTTTTATCACAGAGGAAGAAAGGATTAAACATTTTGGAGTTCCTGCTTTACACCAGATATTGCTATCTATTTAATGTTCCAACAAATTTATGCAGTTGGTACTGTTATACTCATTTTACAGAAGAACCCTAGGTTCAGAGTGATGAAATACTCTGAGTCACAGCTGATAAGTGGCAGAGCCAAGATTTGAATTCCAGATCTCTTGTTCTTTTTACTATTCTTGACAGCAAGAGAAGGAAAACAAGTAGAGTTCTCATTGAATACTCTTGGTTTCACTCATTGCTTTATTGGGAAATTTTTTGAAAAGGAAATGGTTTATCTGTCACTTCAAAGAACTGAAAAAATTAGTGAAATAATGAGAATGTCATCTCGTTGCAGAAATAGGGCACATTGGTTATCTATTGTCGCATAACAAATTACCCCAAAATTAGTGGCTTAAAACAATATTTATTATCTCACAGTTCCTCATGGTTAGGAATCTGGGTGTGGCTTAACTGAGTCCTCTGGCTCCGATTCTGTCACAAGGCTACAATCATCTCAAGGCTTAACTGGAAAGGATCTGCTCCCTTGCTCCCTCATCACATTCTTATTGGTAGGATTTGGTTCCTCGTGGGCTGTTAGCTTGAGGCTTCTCTCAGTTCCTTTGCCATGAGAGCTTCTCCATAGAGCGTCTCACAATATGGCAGCTTGCTTTATCAGAGTGAGGAAGCTAGAGGGCAAGAGAGAGAGTGCTAGCAAGAGTCAGTCTTTTGTAACCTAATCACAGAAGTGACATTCCATCACTTTTGTATATTCTCCTCATTAGAAGCAAGTTACTAGGTCCTGCCCACACACAAGGGGAGGCATGAATAACAGGAGGCAGGAATCGGTGAGAGTCATTTCAGAAGCCACCTCCCATATAAGGAAGGATGTAGTTTATTATTTCAAGAGGTAGAGAATGGGAAAGGAACTGACCTTTTTTGGGCAACCAATATGCTGGGCACTGGAGCTATGAAAACACTGAAGTATATTAAATGCTATACAAAGGGTTTCACAAGTTCTGAATAGCTAGATAAATGGTTATTTCTAGGTGTTGCGACCACTCATTTGACAGATATTGAACATCTCTATGTGTGAGGCTCTGCGCTAAGTGCCAGAGATACTAGGGGCCTAGTAAATAAAATAGCAATGTTCCTACCCTAATGGAGAGACATGTGTCCATATCACACAAGAAAATCTAAAGTGTAAAACTGTGATAAGTGCTTCAAAGGCAAAGCAGGATAGGATGACCAGATTTAGATTGAAGAACCCAGGGAAAGTTTCTCACAAGAATTAGCATTTCATCTAAAACTTAAGAGAGTGAGAATTAACTAAGAAAAGAGGATAGAAAAAATATTCTTAAAAGGAACATCATGTGTGAAGACACCCTTTTGTTAATGAGCTAAATTGAATGAGCATTTCTCACACAGAGCCCAGACTAGAGGAGCAAAAGTCAGAGAATGATGTGGGCAGGACAAAGAGACGGAAAATACAAGCCCGCAGGTAAGTAGGGCAACCTGAAAGACCAGATCACCTCCCCAAACCTTACTGCCTCTCTGCACCTGTCTTTCTTCCCTCCTCACACTTCAGTTAAGTCAGCGAGCACCCTACGTCTGGATCTTGATCTCACAATCTGAACCTAGAGGGTAGTAGAAAAAGATATCCTTGTCCACATGTTGTCAGGCTTGGAGCTAGGCAAGGGAGTAGCCCTGTAGTGAACCAGAATCCGAAGATGAGTACACGGACTTCATTAAAATTTAAATCTTCTGTTTCAAAGGACACTATAAAGAAAAGAAAAAGACAACCCCCGGAATACGTAAGAAAATATTTGCATATTATATATTTGATAAGGGACTTGTGCCTAGAATATATAACTCAATAAAAGATACCCTAATTTTTAAAATGGACAAAGGATCTAAGTAGACATTTCTCCAGAGAAGATGTGCAAATGGTCAATAAGCACATGAAAAGATGCTCGACATTATTGGCCATCAGAGGAATGCTAATCAAAACCACTATGATCACTTCACACCCACTAGGATGGTTATAATCAAAAAGGCAATAACAAGTGTTGGCAAAGATGTGGATAAATTGAAATTCTCATATATTGCTGATAAGAATGTAAAATGGTACAGCCACCTTAGTATACAGTTTGACAGTTACTCAAAAAGCTAGAGTTACTGTATGACCCAGCAATTCCACTCCTAGGAATGTAACCCAAATAATTGATAACTGGTGTTCACACAAAATAAATAGACAGATGCTCATAGCAACATTATTCATAATAGCCCAAAAGTAGAAACACTTTGAATGTTTATCTGCTGATGAACAGATGAACAAATACCCTGAATGTTTATCTGCTGATGAACAGATGAACAAATGTGGTATAGCTGTATGATGGGGTATTGTTTGGCCATGAAAAAAGGATGAAGTACTGATCCATGCTATAACATAGATGAAACTTGAAAACATGCTAAGTGAAAACATGCTAAGTCAGTCACAAAAGACCACATATTGTATGATTGCATTTATATGAAATGCCAAGAATAGACAATATTATTTGGCCATGAAAAAAGAATGAAGTACTGATCCATGCTATAACGTAGATGAAACTTGAAAACATGCTAAGTGAAAGAAGTCAGTCACAAAAGACCACATATTATATGATTGCATTTATATGAAATGCCAAGAATAGACAAATCCATAGAGACAGAAAATAGACTAGTGGTTGCCAGGGACTGTGGTGATAGAGAAATGGGGAGTCACTACTAATGGGTTCAGGGTTTCTCCTTGAGGTGATAAAAATGTGCCATTAGATAGTTTTGGTGATTACACAACCTTGTGAATACCCTAAAACCTCTGAATAGTATACTCTAAAAAGATGAATTTTATTCGATGTGCATTATATAGCAATAAAAAAATAATAATAAATGTCCTGAATGCAGTAACAGAAGGTCTGTTCTCAGACAATCAAAGGTTAAATGACTTCCCTCAAGTCTGATACATCAAGTGGTAAAACCAGGACTCTAACTCCGGGCTTCTGGCTCCACATCAACTAGTCCATATTTTTTTCACCCTAATTTAAAGTCCCTTCAGCCCTTACGGCCTCTTGCTAATAGCTGGTCTTTAACTGTTCTCTCACAGGCCTTTATCAAACTCCAACTCTCGGCCAAACAGGAGGGGGATAGCAAAAGCAGAGCGGAGAGGACACCAGCAACCCCAGGCCCGAAGCAGTGGTGACCGGGATAGTGGAGAGTGCCCCATTTGTGCAGGTAAGCTGCTTGGGCACAGGGTTGTTGTGGAACTGCTAGGCATCCCTCGAGGGTGGAACAGGAGATCTGGGAATGCCGCCAGGAAACATCTGAACTTGCACTCTGAGGCTCTGTCTGCTCTGCAGTTAAACAAGTCTATATTGAGCACCTGCTCATATTGCATTGGCCAAGCCGAGGAAGGGATAGGGGCTATGTCCTTGGGAGAAACATGAAACAAAACACTATCAGAGAGGGGCTAGAATTTCTTTCATAACTTTTTCCTCCGTATCCACATTCTACTTTCTAAGTCTCTGTCCAAATGGTACTTATTTGCCAAGTCTTCTCTAATCTTCTCAGATACTCTCTCCCAACTGAGCTCATGCAGCATTCTCTGATTCCTTTGGGCTTAGCTGTTCTCACTTTCTGCTTTGTATCATGATTAATTCTGGTTACAGCTTATCTTTACCCCTAACGCTACAGTCCATAAGGACAGGCCTGGGTTTACAGGCTTCACCTCCTAGCCGTGTCAGGCAGGAGTAAACACTTGGTAAATGTTTGGTGGGTTCATGATTGGATAGTGTCTCTCAAGTGTAAAATATTCACTTCCTGCGAAAACAGCGGCATTTTGACAACAGATGCTCGCCACAGGCTGCTTAGGATGGCATCTTGTCTAGGTGCAGGCCCAGTTTTGCTTACCTCCTTCTCTCCCCCTTAGGCTCCTTCAGCATTGAGATTCTTCCCCAGCACGCTGCCACTTGTGGAGAGACCTCCCCATGTCACCCAGCCTCTTCCTCCTCATCACCATCTTCATCACCATCAGTACTGTGGGTGTCTTCAGAGAGCTCATCACCTATTTCCTGGGTCCAGTGCCCTATCTGCCAATTGCAGTTCTCAGCGGGAGAAGTAGAAGAACATGCCAGTGGGTGTGGGGAGGTCCCTCAGGCATGAGCCATGAGGTCCTGTGGCTTTGGCCCCTCTGCCCTCTGTGACTAAAACTGGGAAGTGTATCTCTTGATAGGTGAGCAGAGCTGATGAGGCCAAGCACCTCTCTGCTTTCCTTCACTCAGTCCCTCAGGACTCTGCCTGAGGGCACCTCTGGGCCCAGCCCCCCTCCCACTCCCAGTTTTCAAGGCTTCCGTCACCATGGCACCATGTTCTCCCGACAGCTTCATCATTTTACCCTTTGGAACTTCTGGGGTAGAACTGGTGATCTCTCTAGGGCTTCGGGATACAGTCTAGAATGTTTTCCCCTCCACAAGTGATGTGCGTTCTTGTGTCCATTTTCCTGAAAGGGAAACTGAGGCCCAGTGAAAAGAGAAGCACTGCCTGATAAATAAGATCCCGTGGTTTACTGGAAAGGTGAAAGTGATTTTTGAGCATGAGACTGACCCCCAGTATCCCATGAACTTAACTCTCCATATCCTTTGTGGGTTCCCTTCCTAGATATAATCAGGTAACGGTGTTACTGTATGAGTTGAAGCATACTATTTATCTTAGACTCAGAATTAACCCTCAGTAACAGCGAGAAAACCTCTGTCCTCCTGCTCACAGAGCTATCATAGGGATCAGATGGGTTAATGACTAAAGAATTGTTCTAGGCTTGTTGTGGAACCTTGTGCCCATCTGTACAAAGAGGCAATTAGACCAGAGGGTCTCTAAGGTTGCCTCCAGCTATGATGTTCTAAATTCTATTCTCACCTTTTTTGAGCAACTATATCCTCTTTCCCCTTTCCCAGAAGACTTCATTGTGTGGCACTAACACCAGTTCCTCTAGTCTCCAGGGTACAGAGCTGAGGGGGAGCAACTGGTCCTGGCAAAGGGAGGGCCGGGGGCAGGGTTTTGGATGGATAGGAAAGAGGCAGCTGGACACAGTCAGGCGAGCACACCAAGTAGGAGTTCCATCCTTTGGTCCCTGCCAGCATAGGTGCGTGTAGCCATGGACTCCGTCATGGTAAGAGGCCTTCTGCTCTCCTACCATCCCCCGTCCTGGTCCCATTTCTGGCTGTGGTTAAAACTGACCCAGAGTGGTAACAGGGACATTTTAGCTGCCGTCTAGGTGGTGGACATTACCATGTGAGTGAGAGAAGAACCCTTGGAGCCCTGAGCCTGGGTCCAGCAGAGGGGAGCGGTGAGGATGGGCTGAATTTGGTAGAAGAGAGGGACCAGCAGCACTGAGGGAGAGAAACGCCACCCCACACCCCACACAGGAGGGGACAAAGCTGGGGTGGGGGTGGATCAATGGAGGAAGAGTGCTGGGATCCTGCTTAGAGGCCTGGACAGAGCTGAGGGGCTGGGAAAAGCCTGTTCAAAGACCCTCCTGTGTGGACGTGTCTGGACCTGTCCTTCAGAGGCTCTGGGACTTCCAGAGGAATGAGCATCTAGGAAATGAAGTCAACAAGGTGGGAGCTGGGTCCTGGACAGATCCTGTATGCCTGCATGTGGGGCGAGGCTCCCAGTGTAGCCCTGTCCACCTGCTTTAACCTCCCTTTTCTCAAGGTACCCACATTCAGCCCCACTGGGTGGGGGTTCCTGTGAGGGCGGTAGTTGTGCTGAGGAAGGGGCCTCCAATCAGACCCACTCCTATCACTTTCCTAACCTGAGAACCCACTAAATAAAGTGGTGACTAAAAATTTTTGTTAGTATGTGTTTGGGACAAAGAAGAATATAATGGTTGCTGGGGTTAGAGGGTTAAGGGCTTTAAGGTGGAAGGGTAAGGGGGGCCCCAAAACAAAAGGGATCAGAAACTTGGAGTCTCACCCTCTCCACTCCTTCATCCAGTCACAGCCTAGCTGGATTGAGATCGTGAACAAAAAGTTGAAGTTCCCACCTCCACTCCTGAGTGCCATCCAGGAGGGGCGGCTGGGCCTTGTGCAGCAGCTACTGGAGTCAGGGGTCGAGGTTACAGGCGGCAGGCCAGGCCTGCCCCTGTGGAATGTTGAGGAGGCCAAGGACTGCTCCAGGACTGCTCGCCTGGGCTACGAGGCCATCACTGATGTGCTGTTGGCCAGTGTCAAGTTTGACTTCCAGAAGATCCACGAGGCACTGCTAGTGGCAGTGGACACAAACCAGCCAGCAGTGGTGCATCGCCTGATGGAACGAGAGAAGGGCCACAAAGTGGACACCAGGTCTTTCTCACTGGCTTTCTTTGGCTCATCAATTGATGGTACCCGCTTTGTACCTGGTGTCGCTCCACTCCCCCTAGCCTGCCAGAAGGACCTGTATGAGATAGCGCAGCTGCTCATGGACCAGGGCCACACCATCGCCCAGCCCCACTTCCGTCTCTTGTGCCTGCCTCGAGTGCAGCAATGCCTGCCATTATGACCTGCTGAAGTTCTCCCTGTCTCGCATCAACATTTACCATGGCATTGCCAGCAGAGCCTACCTCTCACTGGCTAGTGAGGATGCCACACTGGCTGCCTTCCAGCTCAGCCATGAGCTCAGGCACCTTGCACATAAAGAGCCTGAGTTTAAGGTTAGTCTCTGATACTTTCCCTTGCCCTCAGTGCCCAGTATCTGTCCTTTCACTGGGGCATGGTCGGGCCTATGGTAAGTGTTCTGAGAAGTGGGAAACAACAGAAAGATGAAGCCTTGTTCTATTCCCAGGAAACCTTCATTTTTATGGGGAGTCAGAATACCACCCTGAGGAGGATTCATTCTAATTAATGGTAGAGAGCTATCACTTTAGGAGTACCTTGTCTTATGGGGATGGCACAAACACCACTCTAGGGGGCCCCTAGGTCTGTCTGAGGGAGGAGAGAGAACACAGAAAAGCCGCCAGACAGACTTGGAGATGACATTCAGTAGAACCCATCCTTCTGAACCCCCACTGTGTGGTCCCACCTAGAGCATGAACACAAGCAGGGAGAGGGCAGAGAGGTAGACAAGACACTCCCAGGATGCTCAGCTTCATTCAGTGCCTATGTAGATGGCACTACAAGAGCTTCTAAAGCCCAGGAAAGAGAGGTCAGGAAGCTACAGCTATTGTATTCAGGGAAGACTCTGGAAGAAACAGGATTAATATTGGTGACACAAGTGAATAATACAAGTGAAGAGATAGTACTACAGGCCAAATAACGCTTTCAGGTAGCCAAAGTAGACATGGTAATACATGCAGGGGCCTCTGTGGGACAGAAACTGTGATAGGAGCGGGGGGCACTGGTCAGAGGCCTTGAACACTACCAGTCCAGTTTTATCCATCACTCATCACTGACATTCCCTCTGTGCCAGGCAGACTTGGTCTCATGCTCAAGACTACCATTAGTGGGGAAACAGACAAGGATATTAAAACGAGACCTAAGGCAGGACGTGGCCTGTGCCAGGCGAGCTGCGGAAAGAGCCTGCTCCTTCACTGGGGTTGTGGAAGGATCAGAGAATGAAGAGGGAGCAGGAAAGAGCAGTCCTTTCCAAGGGACTCCCGCCATTCTCACAGCAGCCCATGGAAGGAGGCAGTAGGAATTATCTCCCTTTCTGGCAAGGGAGCTAAGGCCTGGAAAGGGAAAGAACCTTACCCAATGTGACACCACCTGAGAGACAGTGCTGAGACTCAGACCTGGCTTCCTAAAATCCTAGGCTGGATTCTCTCTGCGGTTAGGACCCCAAGTAAGACCAAGGAAAAGATGGGTAAAGGCAAGGTCTGCCGTATTCATGTCTGCCTCTCCTCACACTGCCAGCACAGGCTCTCAAAAGGTAGGTGCTCAAGAAAATTGAATAAACGAACATGAGAAGGGCATGAAGAATAGGAGTAGAAGTGAGACAAGATATAGGGACAGGAAAAGGGAAGTAGTATAGGGATGGCAATGGTGACAAAGGCATTTAGGTTGGAATGACTTAGTGATGAGACAGAGACAGCATCAGTTACTCAAAATTGAAACAGGAGATACCTCATTATAGCAGGGAGAAGAGGTGAGGTGGCAGAGGAGAAAGGAATGGGTGACCCAGGGTGACACACAGGTGGGAAGTGATGGCTCAAAGACAGGTCAGAGATGGCCCTGGCCCACTCTTGGGAGGGCTGACTTAATCAGGCTGGGTCCACAAGGTGGCAGGCACACAAGGACCTGCGATCCTACAGCCCAAGTACGTTGCCCTGGAGTCACTGAGCCAGGACTACAGCTTTGAGCTGCTGGGCATGTGCCAGGACCAGAGTAAGGTCACCGTGGTGCTCAATGACCTGGGCAAAGACAGCGATACTGAGCCTGAGGCTGAGGGCCTGGCCCAGGCCTTTGAGGAAGGTGTCCCCAACCTGGCGAGGCTGAGACTGGCCATCAACTACAACCAGAAGCGGTCAGCTGGGTCCTACTGACCGTCCCCTGCCCCAGCCTGATTCTTTGCCCTGCCATCTCTAGTTATCCCCACTCCAACCCCAAGCAAGTCCGTTCCCTGCCCTCTTAGAGAGTCCTCAGGACCCTCTTAGACTTGATTCTGAGCACACTTCTATTCTAGGCCCTTGGTCTTATGGGTCTCCCATTCTCCCTACCCTCAATCTAAGCCTCTAACCTCTCCCAAGCCCTTGAATGTCCTATTGTCCACTAGGACCCCACCTGTACTCCAGACATCTGGGTCTTACACTCAGTTCTGCCTCTGGCCTGCTGAGTAATTTGGCCCAGTATTTTTCTGTTCTTAGACTTCAGCATCTCACTCTACTTAGCAAGATTAACCTAGATCTGTCAGGGTTAAATATCAAGCGATTCCCACCCCAACCTACAAATTCATTGGGAGCCCTTGTGGATCCAGATATTTTTATTTGCTCATTCAACAATTACTTCCTAAAGAGACTACTCGGAGCCAAGCATTGAGCCTGGCACTGGGGATATAATGAGGAGCAAGCCCTATTCCTGTTAACCAAGAGAAGACTAGGGAGAGCAGGGTTCCAGGAAGCAGGAGCAGCACATCTGCAGGCCCGGGGGAGGAAGAACGTAAAGTATTAGAGAAACTGAAAGGAATACTGTGCTGCTAAAGCACAAGTGCAAATAGCGAACAGTGGGATGTAGGCAGGGGCCAGATCTCGCGGAGCCTTATAAGCAATGATGGAAACCATTATAGGCTTTAAATGAAGTGAGTGATCCTATTAGTTTTGTTTTAGAAAGCTCTCCCTACTAGTGGTGTGAAGGATGGATTAAGGGAGGGGGCAGGATGAGGGAGACTGTCAGAGTATGTGTGTGAGAAAGAATGTAGAGATGCCTTTAAGGTACCTGGCCTGGGTGACCAGGCCATTTTCTAAGATGAGGACACTAGAAGAGGAAGAATAAGTTTGGGATAGAAGATGATGGATTAAATTTTTATTTTGTGTTTTCATGGTTGAGATAGAAGAGCCTGTGGGACCTCCAAGGGAAAGTTACTTTACCTCTGGGATCTTTAGTTCCTTAATTGATAAAATGGAAATAATACCTATCTCATGCGATTGTGAGAAAGACAATAGATATGAAAGTACAAGGCCTAAACCACAGTACATTCTCCACGAATGTTTGAAAGAGTGAGTGAAAGAAGGAGTCATGTGTGGGCTGAGCATTCTGGGATTTCTCCTAGGGGAGGCAGAGACATGAACAAGACTCTGAGCCATGCTCTCCTTCCTTCCCCACTAGCTGGGTCGCCTGCTAAAGATCCTGGTGCTGAAGTTTCTGCTGCACTCCACTTCCTATCTGTGGTTCCTCATCTTCCTGCTGGGAGAGTCCCTGGTCATGGAGACACAGCTGAGTACCTTTCGTGGCTGCAGCCAGAGCTTCTGGGAGACTTCACTACACACGGTTTGGGTCACAGGTACATGTGTGGGGCCTTTCATTTGTGACAGTCCACCTCCGGAGTCTCCTTCACTGTTCTGCATGATAAGTACCCCAGTGGGGGGTTCCCTCCCCCTGTAGATGCCTCTCAACATACAACCAGATCCCTCTGGGCTCTAGCACATCCAGGGACCTTTTTCTCTTCACTCCGAATTAGGGGACCTGTATTAGACTCTCAGCAAGGACCCAATTCTTCCCCTACTCTGATATTAGTTGCTACCCACTCTGGATGTTCCTATCCTCTTGCAAATAAGACACTAGTCTGTAGTGTCAGGTGGGAAATCGCCTTGGTGTAATGATAGCCTGCGAGTTCACCACCGGGCAGTCCTGTCCCAAAGGTTATGGAACAGAAAGGCTCACAGACCAAATTAAGCTCCTTGAATCATCCAGTTTATTAAATCCATAAGTGATGTGTTTATGATGGTGTCATTATGATGACCAGAGTTGAGGTTTGAGCAGGGTATGCAACAGCCAGAAGTCGCCAGGGCCCAACACTTGCTCTATGGGAAGAACCCAGGGGCAAGTATGTCTGGCCACTGCGATAGCTTACCAACCATCCTGATGAGCAGCTATGAGTTTTCTTTGCAGTCTTAAGGAAGAGGACATGTGGGGCCAGAATGGCTGTCACCAGTGGATAACTGATTTACGGTCTGATGAATCCCGAGTTCCTCATTAGCCTCACATATATTCAGTGCATCATGAATGTTTAGTGTCTACCATCACTTTCTGTGTATGTTCACATACATGTACTCTATTTGTTCAACATGTCACCCAGATAACTAACTTATCTTCTCTTAATGGATACACTTCATCCATTCCATTGTTTTTCTTTTTTTCTATAGCAGAATCAAGTATTCTCAAACAATTGAGCAATGCAATCTACAAAACTCTCCAGAGCTCTCCTCGCCTCTGGCTGTTCAGCTCAGCAGGCTGGACTGGTAGCCTCTTCCTCAGATGATCTCTGCTTATTTAGCTCTGGCTTAGTTAGCAAACTCTGAGCCACCAGTACGCTAAGCCCACTACTCTACCCTGTATCAAGCCAGTCAATGATGCCCAAAAGGAAATTTGGACAGGAAACCCTGAAGAAGAAAATAAGAGCAGTCCAAGAGGAAAAGTTTCTTATCTAGTTATTTACTAAACGTTACTGACCTGTTCTAGGTGGAGATGGAACCAATACAGATCCTGTCCATGGGGGAAGAGAAGTCAAAAATAAATAACTCTTCGTTTCTTCTGGCAATAAATACTCGCTGCTGCCCCACTGTGAGCAAAGCCCTGAGAATACATGGATAAATAAATTAAATGGGTTCCATCCACCCATTGAACATACATTACTGAGCATTCACTCCATCCTCACAAGGTACACTCCTGCTGTGAGAACTGATTCGGTTCCTGACTACATCACACTCTTGCCTGTCTCCAAGCCTGGGCTGATTTGCTCTCCCCTTCCCACGCTGCCCCTTTACCTGGCTGCTCTTGCTCTTCCATCAGATTTCACTTAAATGTCACTTTCTGTGAGAAGCTTTCCCTGGCCCCCAAATTAGAGTGAGGATCCAGTCCTGTAACAGCCTTTGTGCCTTGCTCCTCAGCCTTAGCATTTCCCACACTGGACTGTAACTACGTGGCTACTTGCTTGTCTCCCTCACTAGATTATGAACCCTGGGAGGACAGGGACTCTATCTGTCTTATTCACTATAGGATCCCACTGGTATATGGTTGGAGCCTCGTAAATGTTTGATTAATAATGACTGCTTGGCCTTGTTCTGCACACTTGGGACAAGAAGATGAATTAGACATGGTAATGCTGGCTCCCCTGGGAATCCCTCCTGAGGTGGGACTGGAGTGGGTGCCCTTGGTGGGGAAAGCCTTGGTTCTTTCTGTGAATATCATCAGCTCAGCATAGCTTGAAGAAGAACCTCCACCCCACCCCTGAGACTCTTCTAATCTGTCCTGTTGCAGCTAACTCATTCTCACATGTGTGTTTAACTCTGCTGGTGATCAATGCTGGATTCTCTGGCTCCCCCTCACTCCTGTACCATATCTCAGGATCTCAGTCCCTCCCTGGGAGACTGTCCCATCCCAGCTTTTACTGCGTGAACTCAATATGCTTTATTCTTGAGAGAGAAAGTTCCTACTTTGGTACCCACTTGAAATCCCTTCTCATTTCTCATCCCTTAATTTCTCCATTCCAAATTGAAAACTTGTCAAGTAGAAAAGCTGAGTCTGAAAGGTCATCACCCCATTTCCCTCTTCCCAAAACTTGACTTCTCCCCGGGTGGAGACCTGCTCTGATCCTCCCCTATCCCACCCCCCACCAGGTTCATGTTCATCCTCATGATCATCCTGATCGCCTTCCTCTGTGGCCTCAACAACATCTATGTGCCCTACCGGGAGACAGAGCGGCTGGGCAAGTATGCCAGGGCAGAGGCAGGATGGGCAGGTGAGAGTCTTGGACTGTGCTGGGAGCTTACTGATCCCCTCTTCCTTCTCCCCTCCTCCCTCACCTATTCACTCAATCATGAATTCTCTGGTTCGGTGAATCACTCCCTTACTGATACATGCTCATTTATTTATTCATTTACTCATTCATTTACTCACTTTCTCCACAAATGTTTTATTTTAAAAAATGTCAATCCTATGAAAAAGTTAAAAGCACAATGGACACCCATATTCCCATCACCTAGCTTCACCTAGCTGTTAATTTTTTTATTATTTTAATTTTTTTTCCTGAAACATTTAAAAGTAAGTTGCAAACATCATGACACTTCACCCCCAAATAGTTCTGGATATATCCTAAGATTGTTACCACAAAACCATTATCACACAAAAAATTTCATATTGATTCCACAATATTATTTACTCTACAATCCTCTGAAGTTCCCCAGTTGCCAAAAAAAATCTTTCTGGTTTTTTTAAAAACCTGAGATCCAATCTGGGATCATTTTATTGTTACATCTCTTTAGTCTCCTTTTATCTAGAACACTCTCTCTACCTTTGCCTTTCACGACAAATGAACTTTTTGGAAGAGTACAGACCAAGTTATATCATAGAGAGTGTTACACAGTTGGGATTTACCTATTTTCTCATGATTAGATTTAAGCTAAGCAATTTGGGCAAGAACACAACCTAGTTAATGATGTGAACTTTCCATCACATCACATCAGGAGACGTATGGTGTCAGTTTAGCCCATTGGAGAGGTAGTTAGGATCATTTAAAGTGTGACAAACAGAAGTACAACAACACATCAGATCAGCATTTAGCAAGGACACCTTGGATGCAATGTGTGGAGGATGGAATAACAAGAGACAGATTGAGGTCAGAGACAAGTTGCAGAGGTTGCTGCAATGAATGAGGCCTGAACTGACGCTGAGATAGGGGGAATAAAACAGATTCACAAATAAACACAATAGGAGGGAGAATGTGGTCAGGTCCGTGAGTGACTCATAGACATGCACTTTCTGCTGGAGGTAGAGAAGGAAGTTCAGGAATGGCTCCCTGGAACAGGTAGCATTGGAGTTGCTACTACTGTGGTTCAAACCATCATCCTCTCTCACCGAGGCCATGGCAACAGTTCTTTAATTCAGGGGTCCCCAATCTCTATGCTGTGGACCAGTACCAGTCCATGGTCTATTAGGAACTGGGCCACACAGCAAGAGGTGAGCAGCGGGCGAGCGAGTGAAGCTTCATCTGTATTTGCAACCGACCCCCAGCTCCACCTCAGCTCCACCTTAGATCATCAGATATTAGATTATCACAGGAGCACCGGTCCCTAGTGCTGAAAAGGTTGGGACCACTGCCTTAACTGGTCTCCATGCCCCCACTTTCTCATCTGATTCCCTCCCATACTACTAGCAACAGCCAACAATGATCTTTTCAAATGTAAATCAGGTGTTACCCCTCTGCTTAGAACTCTTCACAGCTTCCTAATGCTCATAAGCCACAGTAAGGATCTTTGTTTTTATCTTACAAGGTACTGAATGACATGGTTGGTCCCTACTTACTTACCTCTCACAAGCCCCTCTCTCACAAGCCTCTCTCTCCTTTGCCCTCTGACACCAGCTATCCTGGCCTTCTCTCAGTTCATCAAATGCCTGCAGGCTCCCCACGCCTTGAGAATGCTCTTCACATCTTCTTCCCTTTCACCTGGTTGATTCCTACAGACCCTTCAGAGCTCAGCTTGAATGCTTTTAAAGCAACTTTCCCCAACTCCCAGATTAGGTCATAACATCTCATGCTGCTTCTTCATAGCACTTACCACAATTTTAAAATGGTGGTATAATAATTAGTGTCTATCTCATTCTCATCCCCACTCTAGAACATAAGGTCCTTGGACACAAGAACCATGTTTGTCTTGTTCACAGCTGTATCCTTTGCACCTATGACACTACTATGTGCTCAGTAAATACTGGTTGGCTGAAAGGATAAAAGCTGGAGCTCAGAAATGGCAAGTGTCTGTTTGGCCCAAGGTGGTCCAAAGGGCTTCATGGATGCAGAACGCCTTTGGCTGGGTCTAACGGGGTGGAGAGGACTATGTGTGGGTGACACTCAGGCTCAATCCCACTCCTCACATCCTACCCTTTGTCCCAACATGCTAGTTTTAACGAGACGTTCCACTTTCTGTTCTGGATCATGTTTGGCATGGAGGAGCACAGTGTGGTAGACATGCCTCAGTTTCTGGTGTCTGAATTCATGGGCCAGGCCCTCTATGGCATCTTTACCATCGTCATAGTCATCGTGCTGCTCAACATGCTCATTGCCATGATCACCAATTCCTTCCAGAAGATTGAGGTGCGTGAACTGAGGCCAGTGTAGGCCAGGCAGAAGGGAGACAGGGATAGAGAGGAATAGTATACAAGAAGTTGAGACATTTGGGTTCCTGCTCTGCTTCCACTATTGCCCTGTTTCGTGATTTAAGACAGGTTTTCCTCTCTAGGACTTATCCTCCTTATCTGTAAAATGAGGGTCTTAGTAATGCTATTAGTTTTTCCAGACACAAGTCTTGTGCTCTTTTCACTTTATGGTTGGGAGGAAGGGTGTGTTGTGGAAAAGTAGGTAGGAACGTGAGAA